GCCCACTGAAGCAGTTGAGGCTGCCTCGGTGAATGTTTTTGAGGCAAAGATAGATAGATTTTTGAACAGTAAAGGAAGTAAGGGTTACGATGAATGGGTGCGTAAGTGGAGCTGAGTCTACAAAAAGATCAGCCGTGATCTTATTGAATGTTGGAGTAGGCTTGCTCCTGCTCCTATTTCTTACGTTCTTATGTGTCAGAGTGTCCACATGAGTCAGAGTTTGTGTGTCATGATCTATACGTGTTTTCAGTCTCTCTTCTCCATTCCCTTGCTTTTTCATTGGTGCTAACGTTCAGTTCTAATGAAAGGTTTATATCTGAAATTTTAACTATTCTGTTCCCTCCAGAGATGCTGTCCTGACATGTCAAAGGCTTCCTGGAGTTTTTCTTTTATCTTAGATCTCCAGCATCTGTTCTTTTCTGCAATTGGGAAAATGTCATGGAGACCACTTCAAAGAGCCAGTTCCTCCCTAGCCTGCCTTGACAGCCCAGTCCACAGTGCGTGACTGGTAGAACAGATGTAAACCAGGGGGTAAAGAAAGATTCATGCCAGCAGTGAATTCTGTGAGAAAGATTAGTCACTTTAAACTGAGAACAACATATGATTAGTTGTGTTTTCAAGGCTTGAATATGGCAATGTTCTATGGTAAATGCTCCGTACCCTGCAACTGACCCACTGTGCTCCCAGTGGCTCTGCCCACACTCACTTTCTGCTCACTGTCACTGTTCTAGGTGTTTTTCGCAGAAATTACAATATACAGAGTCAGAATAACTGGAAACTGATGGGTCAATTGATATCTTGTGAACCCAATAAACTGGTTGGGTTGGTTCTGTGAGTAACAGCTGGTTTTAATTTATTCAAAAATCGCAGATGACAATATTAGTTAATACAAGTAGTTCACAGTTAACCTCGAAATTCTAATAAAACTACCTCTTTCTCCTGTTCTACTGACAGATTACAAACCATCCAATGGCATACTGTTATGAGCCAATTTAAGTCAGCCGTCTAAACTCTTCAAAAAAGGGGGAAGCTCCACAGACTAGATTTTATGCTTCTCCACCGGTGGGTTGTGTTGGAGGGAGGGAGAAAGGAAAAGCCTGCAGGTGGCTTTCCTGCTGCCTATCCCCTCGCCTGTCTGAAATGTTACAGTAGGTGGTGGAGTTATTGAAGGACTCGTTGTCCTTAGGTCCATCACAGCGCAGCCATTACTTTAGCCCACAGCAAGGAGACACCCAGCAGCGTTAGCCACACAGGCTTTGGTAGGCAGAGGGGAGGGCGCTCTTTAGACCTATCACAGCACATCCTATGCAATCACCGAGGTCAGCCCTTCTTTTAACCAGCTGCCCTCCAGCCTCTTGTCGAAGACCTCCAGCTTCTCACCTGCATCGCTGGATGGGTTGGTAAAGCCTGTGATTACAGGCTTACCTGGGCTCCTCAGTATGGGTGAACTGCTCGTGATCCATGCAGTATCCACAGTTCTCATTAATGTCACTGAGACCACAGAGTTAGCAGCTCTCCAAGGTTAAATGTCCTACCTTGATTGTGGCAGATGTCTCGCCTTACAGCTATTAACTCCACTCCGAACGCTAAATTTTTCTATGGCTGAATTCTACACAGAACTCCCAAGATCCGTGCGCGGCAGAAACTTGCTTGTCAATGCCAAGGACGACGTCAGCATGCCACTCAGCAAGTATGACCCCTTGGAGTAGCTGTATAACTGCGCAGCTTGAGGCTTGTATGCAAGAATGACTTGTTATCGTGCCATCTCATAGTGCAGGACCATGCTGAAACAGTTCAGGGAAACAGAATAGCAAATGGACCACCACATTCACAGGACCAATAACCACATGAACAAGATCCGTAAGTGAAAGCAGGATTTTAATCACAGCACCCTTATCTGAAGCAGGTAATTCCCAACTCCTACCTTGGTGAATCCTCCGAGACCCCCCGTCACAGGTTTGGGGCTCTGAACCTTGGAATGGCTTCCAATGGGGCACAACGGGGGCATAGCTGCAAAGAGTGCATCTTCCTGCTAAAAAGAAAAGTTACAAAAGTTGAACTGTCAATCGCTAGTCCTCTCATTGAGAACAGTTGATCCTGCACTACTAGAATTTAGCATAGACAGGGAGTGCTAGACGATGGTCAGTCCTCACACTGAGAAGCATCACATAGGCTACTCCACACCTGAAGCCACAGGTGATGTTGAGAGACAGACTGCAGGCCTTTCAGAGGCAACAATGGAAACCAGCCTAAGAAATAAAGCATTTATACTCAGCATTGCAATGTTTCCACTCATTACTTTATGTGAAGATGACAATTTGATTAAGTGATATTTTTCTATCCCTGAGAAAGCAGGGTCAGAGCACTAAAATAGATTGCATGAACCATACAATCACACAGGCTGTGTACAATATATGGGAAGAAATGCCAAACTGCAAGGTACAGGGTGCAGAATTTTCAACAGTACATAAACATTGAGGGCAACTAGAGATGTGCAATAAATGCTGGCCAGCCAGTGACACCCACATCCCATGAGTGAATAAAAATCTTTAACCTTTAAAAGATATCTTTTTAACCACTTAACCTATAACAGCAGGAACAGTTTAATTTTGTGCTTTATCAGCTCCAGCCTGTGGTGTTCTAATGCTCTTTGGAGAGCGTATCATCCTTCCACTCTCAATTCATCCAGAAGCTTGGTGGCCTTGTCCTCTCCTGCACAAGGTTCTACTAACTCATCACTCTTGGTTCACTGGCTAACATTGGCTTTTGGTCAGTTGACAACTCCAAGCTAAAATTTTCATCTCTTAATGATTTTATCACTTCCCTGATAACTTGCCAGGCCTCCACCTCTGGCATTAAGCACATTTCCCCCCCACCACCCTACCGATTGACTGATGGCTCTACTCTCAGTTCTCTCGGCTCTGTGCTCCAAATCTCGCTGCTTTGCTCTAACCCTATACTGTCCTCCTGCCTTTTAACACACTCATTAAAACTGGCATCACACTTTCCAAGATCTATTTCTTTAGCTTGGCACCCATGGCTGCCTGGAAAACATCTACAAATGTCTGGGGGGGGGGGGGCACTTTTTTTTATATTAAAATGTTTCATATAAACACGCATATAAACATACTATTGTCTGCTACTGGCATGATCAGAAAGGTCAATGACAGAATTTAGTTAACAGCTTTCAGATCCAAGGCTTAAATTCTGGTTTCTTATTGCCACTGTAAAAGTGTCAATTATGAAAATCATGTTTGCATGATTGCAATACCCAATCATGAACTTCACAATGTGAGCAAGTTGGATTAACAGCCATGTGTTAAGCGTACTGAATTAATGTCCGGATGTGCTCAGATGTTGAAGTTCATTTATTTTTATTAAAAAAAATTCAAAGCAGGGCGAACAATTAAAAATTAGAAGCAGTCCAGGAACTACTTTGTTTTTTAAACAGGACATTTGTGACAGAATATGACTATTGAAGTATTAGCACAAGTCCTTCAGAATAAGGAGCCTATTTGAATTAAAATATCCATGACAAATACATCACTCCTTTACGTATTCTAAATTTGTGGGAAAGCGTGTTTCTGGCCAAATAGTTTTTCGAGTTCCTCAAACATTTCACATTCTTGGACTGTACATGTAGACATGACTTGTCGCCCGTCTGAGGCAGATCTAGCCACTAAACATTCCAGGTTTCAGGCCTTTATCTCCTGGGTTGGATTTAAAGCTGGGAGAGGTCCTGATTCCATGCTTTCAGCAAGGAGCCAAGATGCAGCTCATCAATCAGAGATGTCATAGCTTAAATGTAGCATTGTTTAGCCGAATAAGAACCATTTTTGTCTTCATTCCTGACAACTCCTCACCTGCGTGGCACCGTAACCTTCCAACCCACCTGGCACTCTGTCTCTTCATCAACCTCACACCTTATGCCTTGACCCATCAACCTGCCATCCCAACCACATTTACCTTACACACTCTTTTCCAGCAGCTGTCAAATCATTGCTGGTGCTGCTGGACATTTAAACACATAAAATACAGCACACTGACCGTCACAAAAGGCAACATGATCTCGGCAATAATCCTCTCTCCTGCTGACTGTGAGAATTCCTGCATATGTCTCCCTTATTGTAGCAGGAGGCTTCATGTCCATGAATTTCCAGAATATAAGTCATCAAAATGTATCGATGTTTTTTTTGTCCAAAATAAGGCATGCAATCCTGAATGGAATTTCTGGACCTTTAAGTATGGGGGATTATATTTGAATTACAGCTTAGCAGTTGTCCCAGTTGGCTGACCAATATTCCTTCCAAAGTTACATAAGTGGCTGACATGCTCAAGTTATGAAAGGCATTATGTAAAGATAAGATTTCGTGTTTGTTCCTTCCCTGTCCTTCAAACATCAAACAACATTAATCAGACAGAATATACGCCTCATTTCAATTTGTGGGAGCTTGCTGTTACAAACTTGCAACTGCATTCCCCTACTTTACAGCAAAGGCAAGGAAGCTACAAAAGGCACTGCATGAATCCAAATTCTTTAGTTCTGTCTAAGGATCAGATAGTGAAAACTCAGTCAAAATTCTCCTTCAATTGCTTCTCAGTGATCACCTCTGGGAAGGATGTGTACAGATACCAGGTGAGAACAGAGTGACGCTTAGATGTGCAGTCCTAATCAAATTTGTGGCTATATTTGCATACACTCTAAAAAGTGCTCAATGGCTGTGAATTATGTGAAAGGTCATAGTCAAATATAATTTCTTTCCTTGTGTGGCCTTTGTCTGAACTTGGCTTTTTGTCTCAGTTAATTTAGATACTTTGGGTGTGTACTAGTCTCTGACATCGCTTCAAATTCACCAGTCATTCACAATTGAGGACAACTTGTATGTAAGGCAGGAAAGTCCTGTGGACACAATGATTTCCTACATCTGTTTATCCTGTACACAGCTACATTCAGCACAGTGTACAGGCAGTGATTTCCAATATCGGTTGATCTACTTGAAACAATCTCCTGTCTCCAGTGTGCAGACTTGCATTTCCAGACAATATAGTTATATGCAGTTGCTAGTAGAATCAACAAGGAAAAAGGGAGCCATTCAGCCCATTGTGGCTGTGCCAGCAACTCAGAACAGTTATTTAATTAGATGTGCAGGTTAGGTAGACTGGCTGTGCTAAATTGACCATAGTGACCAGAGATGTGCAGGCTGGGTGGATTAGCCATGGGGAAATGCAAAGTTACGAGGATAGGACTAGGGGGGCAGGGAATGCTCTTCGGAGGGCGGTGTGGTCTCAATGGGCCAAATGGCCTGCATCCACTCAAGGGGTTCTATGATTCCTGGTCTTTCCTTGCAATTATTTTACTTCCCAAATACTAATCCAATACCATTTTAAAGTTGATTATTAAATCTACATCCATGACTGTATCATGTAGTGCAGCCCAGATTATCATAACACACTGGGTGGAAAAAAAAGCCCACACGTCTCTTCTGGTTGTTTTGTCAATCAATTTAAATCCCTGTTCTTCAGATATCGACAGCCTGTTAAGCAAACAAAACCACTGAACGTTTTCCAACAGGTTCTGACTTTGCAATTCTGAAAGGGATGAAGGTAAAGTTTTATCTCCCCCACCCCACCCAAGTCTGGAATTACCAGGATTCCTTCTCTTGCTCAGCTACGGTGCTCAGCCATTCAGGTCAGTTTAGTAAACTACTGATTTCCAGCATAATGAAATGAGAGGTTCAAGGGAGATGTCTGTACCCTGACCATCCCCTGGTAAGAGACAAGATTCAGAACAGGAGGCATTTTCACTTGACAACAAAGCTAGCTCAAGAGGACAGGAAAACCCTTACCTTCACAGTTGTTGCAATGAAGCTACTGCCGTGTATTTTGGGGATGGGTGAACGGGCCCCTTGTGAAATGCCTGTCTGCTTTGCCGTGGGGCTCCCTGCTTCAAACGAAACAACAAGGTAATAAATTTGAACTTGAAAAATTATGAGGCAAACTGTGAGTTGAGATTTCATTTATTCCAACCTAACCTAATGGTGCACATTTCTACAGACTACTAGTTCAACCTTTAAAATTAATCGGTTAACGTCTTTACAGAGATAAGAATTGCAGACAAGTATGTTTGATTTGTAGGACTCTCACAGCAGGATTTCAGCACGACTGTATTTAAGTTTTTGCTTCTTGGCCCAGCATAAACACCCTGATAAAAAAATGTAACCTTCAGTGGGTTAAATTCTTGTATCAATCGTTCAACACATGACTGTGTGTATCCGGCACAGCAATCTGCTCACTAACAGATTAGTCTCTGCACTCCATCCTGGGGTACTGAGCATATGGAGGCAACAAACTATCTCACACTGGCCTATTCACTCCAGTGCAGTGCATCTGACTAACCAAACAGCATTAATGTTTGGCATCATTGCTTATCCATCACTACATCACACTTCAGCTTCACCGCAGCTCTGGAGCAGTCAGAATCCAAAGACTGTTGTTATAGAGTCATTTACAGCACAGAAAGAGGGTTTTTGGCTAATCAAGTCTATGCCAAATTCTCACAGAACATTCCAGTCAGTGCTACTCCCTGCTCTAATATCTGTCCTGACATTGATAGCCAGCTTTTCTGAAACTAGTGACACGACACAGTGGAAAGTGATGAGGATACAATGGGAAGGCAATGGCCTAGTGGTATTATCGCTAGACTATTAGTCCAGAAATTCAGTTAATGTTCTGGGTACTCAGGTTTAAAACCCGCCATGGCAGATGGCAAAATTTGAATTCTATAAAGAATATAGAATTAAGAAACTAATGGTGACCATGAGACCACTATCGATTGTCAGGAAAAACCCATCTCGTTTACTAATGACCTTTAGGTAAGGAAATCTGTCATCCTTACCTGGTCTGTCCTACATGTGACTCCAGACCCACAGCAAAGTGGTTCATTCTTAACTACCCTCTGGGCGATTAGGGATGGGCAACAAATGCTGCCCTAGCCAGAGACACCCAAATTCCATGAGTGAATTTTAAAAATTGCAACGTTACATATAATAAGATAACAAGGTTCAGAAAATTGTTTTTTTTTTCTGAAGAAGGGTCCAGACCCAAAACGTCAGCTTTCCTGCTCCTCTGATGCTGCCTGGCCTGCTGTGTTCATCCAGCTCTACACCTGGTTATCTCAGACTCCAGCATCGACAGTTCCTACTATCTCTGAGTTATGTATAATAATGACACAAATAGAAAATGAAAGGGATTGTCAATTTTAACAACCTAGAGCATCAAATAACAGACATGCAAAAGAGCTGGAGCCAAACAATGAGGCAAGTTAGAGTCAACAATGGGATGCACCCTATCCTATCACAGTGTGACACTAAATTTTAGTTTGTAGCGCATGCATGTGTGAATACAATTCATTAGGGTTCATACCAGTGTTTGATGTTGATACTCCAATCACCTGTCCAGGTTTGTCCACTATAATGTAGGGATTACTCATGACGGAGACGGATGATCCTTGCTTCATGTGGACAGGAGTAGACGTTGGGGTACGTGGCAAAGGAGAGTGACTCGGAGTTGAGATTGGTGATCCTACAGTGATATAAAACAATTAATGCAGTCGCTCACATTTCAACATCAAATCGCAGACATTAATTTCACAGTAGCCACATTTTGAGCACATCCTACAGATCAGTGGGCACAGGCATCAACCAGTATAGGCCCAAGCAAAACAATCATCTTTATTTCCATGCGTTTGATTCTGTTCATTGTCCCTGTCCTTTCCATTCTTCAGGTTTTTCATAATTACATCAATTCTGTATTCCCAGATTTTAACATTTTACCATAGTTCCTTCACTTCCATCTTTTCCATCCTGTTCATTACTGTATCACGTGTCAGTTGCAGTTTAGATGGAAATACACTGGCCTCTGAATTACAAGGCTGTCACTCCACTGCAGTTTTGAGGGAGTCTTGCGGTTTATTGATGTTGCATATTGGTGGGATATTAAACTGAGATCCCATTTTCCCTCTCAGGTGGACAAAACCAAATCCCATTATTTCAAAGACCACCAGTCAGTCTGGTAGTGAGAAAGATTTAGAGAAGATAATGCAGACAAAATTAACAGTCATCACTTGGACAAATATGGAACAAATAATTAAGGAAAGCCAGCATAGTTTTGTTGCAGGAAAAAAAACATGGTTAATAACTTGATTGAGCTCTTATATGAATTAACAAGAGCAGGAGTGGACATGGACTTCCAAATAGTGTGTTATAAAGTGGCACCAAATAGAATCATGGAAATACAAAGGACAACAGCAATGTGGAAATAAATGTGGCTGAATAACAATAAATATAGAATAGTGGTGAATGGCTGTTTATCAATCTAGAAGCAGTGTTCCCTAGAGGTCAGTACTAGGCTCACTACTTTCCTTGGTATGTTGATAATCTAGACTTGGTTGTACAGGGCACTAGTTTTTGAATGTGCAGTAGGCCACAGATTTGAAAATGTTTTGAATTGTAAGGAAGATACTTGTCAACTTCAAAAAGACTTAGGCAGACTGGGAATGGGTGGGCATGCAGCAAGTTAAAATTAATGGCGAGAAGTGTGAAGTGTTACAACTTGGCATGAGGAGAGACAATATAAAATGAAGGATATAATTCTAAAGGAGCTGCAGGAGCAAAGGAGGCCCAGGAGTCAAACGTGCACAGATCATCAAAGATATTCAGGGAGTTTAAAGGAGCATATTTAACAAAAAACAGAGGGGAGCCTGGTTTTATAAACAGTTAGAGATAAAAGCAAGGACGTTATAATGAACCTTTCAGATTCAGATACAACCAGAATGTTGGTCTAACTTTGGGCACCACTCTAGAGGAAGAATGTGAAGGCTTTAGAGTGCACAGAAAACATTCAGAAGCATTGCTTCAGAAATGAGTAGCTTACATGATTGAATTGGAGAAGTTGGCATCAGTGTACTTAGTGAAGGGAAGGTTAAGAGGGGATTTGATGGAGGTATTTGAAATCTTGAGGGGTCTAAATTGAGTAGATGAAGAGGAACCATTTCTGTTGGCAGAGAAGTCCAGAAGCTAAGGACAATTTAAATTGATTGGAAAAAGAATCAAGAGATGACATGAGTAACATGTTTTTTTCCCCATGCCAAGTGTGGTTAGGGCCTGAAACATACTGCCTAAATTGATGATAGAAGGGGATTCAATCGTGACTTTCAAAAGGAAATCAGTGAGCTACCCGAAGACGAAACATTTGCAGGACTGTGAAAAAGAGATCAATGAAGAGGACAAGATAAACTGCTCTGATAGAAAGCCAGCACAAGGTCAAAGTTCAGTTAGCCTGGTGCTCTGGCCAATGGTCAACATTCAACCAACACTGAAACCAATTATCTGATCGCAATCTCAAATTCTACTGTGCGACCTCAGTTTTACACAAGCTAGGTACTGGGTTTCATACATTACAACAGTGGATATGCTTCAAAACGATTTAAATGCCCAGAAAACAATCTGGAACATTGCAAGGTCCTAAATGCACTATGGCATTGCAGGTATTCTTGGCATTCCATCACTTGCATCCTTTCAACATGCCATCATTAATATCATGAGAGGCAATGGCCTAGTGGCATTATCACTGGACTGTTAATCCAGAGACCCAGATAATGTTCTGGGGACCCGCGTTCGAATCCTGCCATGGTAGATGGTGGAATTTGACTTCAATAAAATATCTGGAATTAAGAATCTAATGATGACCGTGAATCCGTTGTCAATTGTTGGAAAAACCCATCTGGTTCACTGATGTCCTTTAGGGAAGGAAACTGCCATCCTTACCTGGTCTGGCCTACATGTGACTCCAGACCCACAGCAATATGGTTGACTGTTAACCGCCCTCTGGGCAATAAATACTGCCTGGCCAGTGATGCCCTGATCCCATTAATGAATAAAGGAAAAAAATTCACATCCTTTCCAAATTCTTACTCTAAAACAACATTTTATCCTTTCCAACACTTCGTTCTTGCCAATTTTCTATCCTTTCTAAAATTCCCATCTTTCTGTAATTCCCATTGTTTCTATAATTCTTTTGCTTTTGTTTAAACACCTATTTGCTTTTGACACCACTGGAATAACAGAGACACCTGAAGGCATACAGCAGGTTGGGCAGCATGTGCAAGGGAAAGAGAGGCTGGAACTGAATCATCTGATGGTATGACCCACAATCATCTTCTCTCTTTGCTTTTGTCAATCCTATAAATGAGTTCTTCCCCCTCGACCTTATTACAGCTGACAAATGGTGTCAGACATGGTATATTCCAGAATTATCCTTTTCAACTCCACAATACTTGATAACACAGCCCCCAGCTCACGACGTGGATCAGACTGAGTTTTCAGACTTTCCAGCATTGTGCGTTTCACCTTTAATGTTGAGAGTAGGTGTACCTGACACAATTTTGCAGCTCATGGTGATGGGCTGGAAGGACTTCCCTGGAGAATCAGAAGGGCTGGGAAGCTGCCCCTGAGGGACAATCTTGCAACTGGCAGTGATCGGTTGGAACGCTGAGTTTCCATGAGTTCCAAACGTGACCTTCTGAGTGGCCACTGGTCTGGTTGGTGTGCGCTCCAGGGAAGACTGTCCTGAGTGACTGCTAGGACCCATTTCACTTTTAACAGGGATTTCCAACTTAACTGAAAATATGAAAGAAACAGAAACATATTTCATTACATCTACAGGAATGAAGTCTTCCATTTATCCTTCATAATATTGTTCCTTAAGGACTTGTTCATACAAAATCTTCCTCAACCATAGGAATCGAGGGCAAACACTGAAAATGCTGGAGAAAACTCAGCAAATTTGGCAACATCTGTCAAGAGAGAAGCAGAGTTAACATTTCAAGTCCGATATGAACGGAAGAAGAGTTGTACCAGACTCAAAATGTTACCTGTTTCTCCCCCCACAGATGCTGTCAGATCTGTTGAATTTCTCCAGCACTTTCTGTGTTTGTGTCAATGTATCTTAACTGCATTTACCCGCATTGATTCAACTACTATATTGAAAGGCCCGAGCTTCATTTCCTAACCTGTATAATACTGATCAAAGCAAAAGTTGAAACATTACAGTTTGTCTCAGTGCCTCTAGGCTTGGGGGATGGGAATTAAGGTATTTATTTGTTCCTCCTCTGTCTTGATGGTTGTTTTCATAGGTCTTCCAGGGAGTCACTCAGTCAATCGTCCCCCATCAACATGGGGTTGGAATTTAAATAATTCTACCTTTCAGATGCATTTTTTAAAATAAATTATCCCATTATTGCTAAAAGACTTTCATTGAACAGTTACACCCGCCCCTTACAGGAACTGCATAGTTATCCTGACAAATTAACTCAGGAGAAATCACTTGCAAAAACACAATGCCTGAATTTTGTGACTTTGTTATGCCACATTAGAGACTGCTCAATATCACTGTACTATCTGGAACATGTTTAAATACATATGCCTTTCAGTCATTGGTTTGAATTTTCATAAAAGTGTATCTCAGCGTGTGCATATTTAGAATAGAACAGAATCCCTACAATGTGGAAGCAGGCCATTCAGCCCATCGAGTCCACACCGATCCACCAAACAGCAACCTACCCAGACCCACCCCTCTAACCCATCCCTGTAACCCTGCACTTCCGGTCGCCAACTCACCTAGCCTGCACATTCCTGGCCATTATGGGCAATTTAGCACAGCCAATCCACCTAACTTGCACATCTTTGGACTGTGGGAGGAAACTGGAGCACCCGGAGGAAACCCACGCAGTCATGGGAAGAATGTGCAAACTCCACACAATCACCCGAGGGTGGAATCGAACCTGGGTCCCTGGCACTGTGAAGCAGCAGTGTTAACCACTGAGCTGCCACATTTATATGGTTTTGAGGTTTGTACATATGTATACCTATGTAACATCATGTTTGCTTCCACCTGTACATACATGTTTGACTTAGTGTTTGATTTTGGAGTTTACGGATGTGTGTGAAGCACCATGTTTAGTTTTAGAGATTACACACATCAATGTACGTCTATACTTGGTTTCAAATTATGCACATATGTGACAGTGTTTTGCTTTGGGATTTGTACAAATGTGTGCATGACCACTTGATTGTGTGTGCGTATGTGCATGCGCATACGCGTGCATGTGGTGGCTGGGGTTGGTTGAACATTGCACTGCTATGTACCTAACTCCATGACTGGGTCTAGGGATTTGTGCACACACCAGTAGTTCTATTTTTCTTTCAGGTTTATATATCCAAGTGTGTCACTCTTTGAAATAAGAACAGAAAATGCTAGAGAAACTCAGCAGATTGGCAAGATCTGTGGAGATAGGACTCTTGTCAAAACATTAACTCTGTTTCTTGCTCCACAGCTGCTGCCATACCGGAGAATTTCTTCAGCACTTTCTGTTTTTATTTCAGATTTCCAGCATCTACAGCGATTTGCTTTGATTGATGTGACTCCTCATGAGGATTAAGGACTTATACATACATATGAGGTTCCATGTTTGATTTGAGCTTGTACATAAATGTCAGCCTCTGTATGATTTTGGTTGTACATGCTCACATGATTCCATGTTTAGGATGAGGTTTGTACACGGGCCTGTGTGGTTCACCTTTTTCTGAAGTAAATCCCAGAGAGTCATGAGACTGCTTCCCAGCAGCAGAACTCAAAGTTGCTAGAGACACGTGCACTGCTCCTGCTGATGTCATTGGGGGAGTGGAGGACATTGCAGGTTGAACAGGGGTGACAGATTGAGGTGTCCTGCTGGAAGAGGAGGAGCAAGAGGAGGATGAAGAAAGAAGTACTGTAGAGGAGCCAGAAGGAGCCAGAGCTGTGGGAAGGTAGTCCTCACCAAGAGAGTCACGGTGCAGTTCAACGTCAACCACCTGTTCCAAGGGGAACACACAAAGAACACTGTCATTTCAGCACTCAAACTTCATATCAATAAATCAGATATAGAAAGATGCACAGGACAAGACTGAGTGTTAAAATGGGCAGGAATCCAAACACGAATTCTCAAACCAACTTGTATCTATATTGTGCCTTTAACATTGTAAAATATCCCAAAGATCTTCACAGAAAATCTGACACCAAACCACAAAATCACAGTAGAACAGGTGATCCCAAAATTGGTCAAACAAATTTTACAGAGTATCTTAGAAGAAAGTCAGAGAGCTGGAGGGGTTTAAAAAAGGATGGAAAAAAAAAATAAACAGGAAGGAAAATGCTCATGGAAGGAATTCCAGAGCTGAGGACCGAAACAGCTGAAGAGACAGCCGTCAATGGTGAGCAATGAAAATCAGGGATTCAAGTGGCCAGACTTGGAGAAATGCAGAGATCTGACAAGGTTACACCTCAAGAGGAGACCACGACAACAGAGGGGCATGGCCATGAATTTCGAAACAAAGAACAAGAGTTTTAAAATCATGTAATTGCCAGAGTCTACACGTCCCCAAGTTGTGTTGGCGATATTGCTGGACAAAAGCACAACTCAAGAGTTGGCCAGCAGCCAAGAAAGAACTTCATTCACTTATCTTAAATAAAGGTCAACACCAACACTTACACAAGTGATGAAAGGAAAGTCATTGTTGTGGATATACCATTCACCTAATTATCATACATTATTGTGATTTCTAAGTTATTAACATAAGTAAGAGATTAAATTTTTCTTGCATAAGCTATCAGCCATTACAGCAGCGTGACTGTATCAAACCTCTGTGGACAGGATATGAAGAAAATCTCAACCAGGATTCCTTCTCCAGACTTGCTTCTATACAACTTGTTCTCGATATTGGATGGCTGACCCAGATTGTGTCCAGGTTCATACTTAAATAATTGGTGAACTCAGTATAATGTGTCAGACTCTACAGCTGTGAAGCTACTAAATGGAGTAAAAGAAAGAGAAAGCTGCAGAGGGAATGAGAGAGAGACAAAGAGAGAGAGAGAGAGATTAAAACATACCGTTTCTGCACCAAGAGTCTGCAAGCCAGTGTATGTTCTATCCAGCTGTGGGAAAAAAATTAAACTTATATCAGTAAAGTGAAAGCTGTGTGCACCCAACATGAACATTGAAAAAAGCAAATGGTAGCGAGGGAGCTAAATACAAGAGTGGCTCAGAATCTCACATACATCCAGCCCAAACTGATGTCAAGTTAATGGGCTAGATTTTCCACTCGAGTAGCAATGGGTAAACGTTTAGGTCTGACTCCTCTATCTTTGCAGGCAGTAATGTGAGTTTCAATCACAAGACTAATACAGACCCAATTGGGCAAACCTCATGCAAATGATGGTCAATGTTGGAAATTGAAATATTGCACTGGAGTTGTGAGGAATTCATTTACTGTGATGTAGTTGAATGATCTTTATTCTGTGCCTATTATTTAAGCTTGGAGGCACTCTGAGTCAATGTAGAGGTAGTTCCACAAGAGTGTTCATATCCTGCAAGCAAGTTTCAGAGATAGCATCTTCAGATAGGCTAAGGGTGCAGGCTCCACTATTGGACACAAACATATCATCTAGGTTCATGCCAGTGCATCTTGCAGTGCTGTAGCTGCAATCCATTTGATGAGACATTAAAGCAAGGTCCTGACTACCTAGTTAGGAGGAGAAAACAAAAGATCCAACAGCAATATTCAGGATGAAATTGCGTTATTATCTTGGGAAATATTTATACCATAACCAACATCATCAATAGGGTGGCACAGTGGCAGGCACTGTTGCCTCACAGCCCCAGGGACCAAGGTTCAATTCCACTCTTGGGCGACTGGCTGGATGGAATTTTCACATCCTCCCCGTGTTATATGGCTTTCCTCCAGGTGCTCCGGTTTCCAAAGATATGCAGGCTAGGTGGATTGGCCATTCTAAATCGCCCAGTGTTCAGGGATGTGCAGGCTAGGTGGATTAGCTGTGGGAAATGCAGGGAGGTGCTTGGGTAGGACAAAGGTCTGGGCTCAATGGACCAAAAGCCTGCTTCCACTTTGCAGGGATTCTATGAAATACAGACTGATTGCTAGTTATGGGAGTTTGCTGTGAGAAAACTGGCTGCCATGTTTCCCTATATTACATTAGCTACACTGCAGAACCTTTACATTTTCTGTAAAATACTCTAAAGGGTATCCTGATGATGCTTTTTTTAACAGGCATACATTCACTGTTCAATTCAACACAAGCTGAGCAGACTGTACAATGTCGATGTTATCAAAGCTAGGGGCAGAGGCTACAGGGAAAAGAAACAGCCTCTTAAGCTTCTCTACCGTTCAATTAGATCAGCACTCACCCATCTTAGCTCTCTATCCTGTGATACCTTTACCAAATAAAAATCTATTGATTTCAGTGATGAAAGCTCCCTTTGTCCCAGCGTCCGAAATGATCTGATTACAGTGATAAGTGATTGCTCTTTGTTGTTTCGAACCTGTCACTAACAGATTAACAAGAGAAAATATATAGGGCAGAGCTTCAACCAACTACTGCTGTACCTTCAGTTGGTGAATGATGTCTATTCTCTTGTTGCGCAGGTCCCTGAAGTGAATCTGAATACGTACAGGGAATTCACCCCAGCCTCGTCTGGTCAAGTGAAACGGTGGTTCACTAATCAGAAAATTAAAAAAAAACGAAAATCAATCCACGTGGAAAAATAAGTGAGAACATAAATAAACCATTGCTTATGTAACTTATTAATCACTTTTCCACCAGCTACTAAATTTGACAACATACTCTCGTTCTGGACATTCCAGCCAAAATGACAAAACATCTGTTCACAAAGATTGTGCTAAAACAGGAGAAGGAGCTTGGGCTGGATTTTATAGACCTCATTTCTGGGCATATTTGCAACATGGGAAGCAGGAAAAATACATTAGTGGCCAGCCCTTCATCTTCCCATGCACCCCTAAACCATTTTCAATAATACTGGGTAATGCTGCCATGACCCTGTCCACATTTAGGCCTACTGAGGGTGTAAATTAGCCAATTATTGCCAGCTAAAGGCCATCAGACCTCATCCATTGCCATAAAACGCTGGGCAATGGCATCTGTCTGACTGTGCCTTTCTTTTTTAAAAACTTTGTCAAAAGGTGGGAAGGGGGCCCATCACTGTGGACTGAGGAGGTGTCCTGTATGAATCAGGTTATTATCACCCCATCCCAAGCCCGTTCTCCACCCTGAAGGCCGGGAGCCATCAATGCTCTCCAATGACTTCCCTGTAGTCCCAGCAGCGCTCAGTACTGAGCTCTAGTGCTGCTCAGATTGCTAAAGCCACCAGCTAATCTGGCTGGCTGACAGCTGTCAAGTGTAGCACTTGATGAGGGGGCTGATTGCCAACTCTCAGTTTGCTTAGGCCACCTCCAGCATGTTGTCGCTGCGAGGCAAGCCTTTTAAAACTCAGTCCATTTGTCTCAGATTGTCACAGAGAGGCAAGGTCATTGAACATGTTCAGGGCAGAGTTAGACAGAGTCAAGGGTTACGGGCAGCAATCAATAAAGTGCAGTCACACCATAATTACATTAGCCATAACGTTATAGAATGGCAGACTGTCCTTGAAGGGCTGAATGGCCTATTTCTGCTCCTAAGTCATGCGTTCTTGTGAACTAACTTTTCTGTCCAACTCCATATCTACTTTGGGTCATCCAATCCTTTAGATACTCGAGGACTGGTTAGATTTGTGCCATCCCTGATCTTGGAGTATTTGATGGGACAGAGTCGGGGGAACTACACACTGTTTATAGCTCAAGCCTGATGGTTCCCTGCACCAATTTGCCAGCACTGCTCCTTAGGAACTTGGCAACCAAATGCCTAGGTGTTTCCGAGAGGATCTGATACAAATGATGTACATCAAAAGTCTTACTATCACTGAATAAAAGTAAAAAGGGCCAAACTTACTCCATAATCAAAGGGAACCAAACTGATTTTTTTTCAACCAGGAAAAAAAAATCCACTCTCAATTTATAAGGCAATAAATTCTATTAATAATTGTTTAAAATTTTAATTAAGTTATATAGTTATTAATCCTCTAACTTCTTGTATTAGCTCTAGGATAGTACAATTCTCAAATCTATATGCTGTACAAGGTATCTGACTTCTGCACGCCTGACCGTCTACCTGACTTTAAACAACTTGATAGGTGCCCTGCACAGAATAGAAGTGAAGTCCAAGATGAGATACAGGGAGGCTCACCTGACTTCCACCAGGTCATTTGGCTTATAGCTGGGATGTAGAAAGAACCAGACCTTCTTCACAAAATGATCAATTGTCGGTTCTTTCCGTGAACCTCGCACATAAACCATCCACTTATGGGTGGACTGATCATTCTCCTCCCTCTTGTCTGGGGGAATATACCTATAAAGTAACAAATACAATCAATTAAAGACAAAACAAGCATCACATTTCACTGACGAATCACCTCAACTTCTTTCAGGATGTTACAGACGTGAAACGCCCAATGGTGGTGAGACTCTGACAGAATTATCCCAGGCTGACCAGGAAAGAGAGCAGAAATCACTCAGCAAAGCAGAAAAAAAAGCATTTGTCCAGCACTTGAGGTAAAAAGCAGGAAACAGCACTGCAAGACTGAGAAAAGAAACAAAATTCAAGCAGGGACAGAGATTGGAAGCAGGAATTAACAAAGGGACTGGGAGAAGAACTGACGAACAGAAGCAGATCATTAATTTCAGTGCCTGGATAATTTAAGTTAAAACATTGACTGAATAAATAACCAGAAAAGTAGAGTGGAAATTCGCTAAGATAATCTTTACAATTCACTGAGTAGACTTCAGTTGAAGTCCAGTCTAAGAACAGAAAAAGACAATTCAGTCACTTTAGGAGCGATCTGCACTTCAACTTGATTTACCCACCTTTGATTCACAACACCTTAATACTTATACCTCTAACAATGAGCAGGGTTGAAATAATGAGAAACCTACCCCTTTTAACTGAAATTTATACTCTGTCCACTGAAGCACAGAACATTATGATATACTACATCACCTACGTATTGCATACAGACTTCAGGGGACACGAGTTCCACAGGTCTCCACTAAGTGCCCACTACAACTATGGCAGAAGATCCGTGGAAAACCTGGACAATCGCTGATTTCACCTTTTCTCTGGGGTCTCTGCCACAGTTACTGCGGTGTTCTGTTTGCAGTGAACAAAATATTGAACATCAATTCGTCTTTTCGTGTTATGTCCTGATCATCTTCAATTGCACTTCCACTGCCATCAAAGGGGAAGGAGATCAGACAAAAAGAAAAAGAAATGCAAAACATTAAGAGATGCAGACAGACTCCAAGAAAACCCAAGTACTGACTTTGAAACGTTGCCAACAACAATTGTCTTCTTGATGTAAAGGCGTGATGGATCTTCACTGGTGGTGAGGTAGGTACATCTTTGTTCTATCTCCTGTGGGGTTGGGACTCCAAAGGTATCCTAGGAAAGACAGTAAATTATAAATATTGAGATAAAGGTGCTGTACCTTGTTTGATATTGCATTGATATTCCATTTCAATCCCTCACCATCGCATTTCCTCCATATGCCTTTTCCCACTTCCTTGGACTACACATAGCTAAGTCAGAAAACCAGCAACCCAACTCTGCCAATTCTCATAACCAGTTTGTGTTGCTCCATTCCATCCAGAGAGACTGGCATTTCAGCACAGTGGGATTACACCCATGCACAACTCCATTTGCTGCTGCTTTATTCTCCTCAATATTGTCGACGAATCCTCGGTTCTGATGCTCTCTCGTAGCTCATTCAAGTGATCATTTGTTCTGTGAACTTGAGGGCAGGCCATTTGACTGTAGACATGCATGGACACCACGCTTCATGTGACACCCACATACTCAGGAGTAGGAGCCATAGCAGTTTTTGGGGGCTCAAGACCTCTGGGGTCAACCATAGCTCTCATTACTATTTGCCTATCTACAGTGTGGACACAATGTTTTAGTCCCAACCAAGTACTCTCCCAACACACTGAGGGATCCACGTGAGACCACTGTACCTGGCCAGTGTTCCTCCCTGCTCTTTTCTCGGACCTATACGTTTGAATGTCCTCGCTTGCTGCAGTGAGCTGTTCCTGATCATTCTCTTTGTCCAGAAAGGTGTCCGCCTGGTGACTGACTGAATCTGTTTCTGACTGGTTGGCTGATGGAGTTTCAGATCGTTGATTGCCTGGAGAGGATGACCGGGAAGGAGATTCTAAAAATTTCTTGATGACTGGATGATTGAAGACAGTAGGATCATACGGCTTTGGGCCCTAAAAGAAAATCACACAGCCTGGTTTAGTTGATCACAAATTCAGGTCAGCAAGGTTAAACTAACCAAAGGTAACCCTCTTGGACAACAGTGAAGAATGGTTCTAACAATTCAACCAAGAAATGGCAATGACATCAGTCATATTGTCCTGATGAAAAGCAACACCTTTAATGAAGAACCTACTCCATGATAAGAGCATACTCCATAACTATGTTCTTGCAATTTGATCACTGATTAAGCAAATTTGTCAAATAAATGCATATTCTCAAGGAAAAGCTAATGTCGGTTTCTAAGAAATTATGTGTTAATATCCTTCCCAATCCAAAACAAAGTCTGCCAGTATTTCCTAGATAGTCCTTAGATATAAATACCTCTTTCCAGCATTAATAATTAAACTTATACTGTACTACTTAAAGTGGGTTGACCGTGTTAAACAGAAGAAGCAATCTTAAATTCTTCTGGCACCTGAGTAAATTTTTGGAAACAATTTGTGATAGTAAATTGCTGGAGGTAAATTCTCAGAGCACCTGATTTTTAACGCAGAGAATCGAAAACTCAAGACCACAACCTGACCCTTGGATTATGCTGCTGGGTAGCTTTTATTTGTCACAGAGAATGAAGTTGCCTATCAGCTTTGATTGAATTCGCTTTCAAAGCACCAGTCACATTTTGATTATGATAACACCAACTAATGCACAGTCATGATTTGCAGTGGTTTATCCCTCTAAGGAAATATGACTGGCTGCACACCAGCTCATTTATTGTAATCAGAAATCCAGGACAAAAGGTAAAGACCCACACACAATAGAAATGTATTCCACTCAAGGAAACCATTTGGCTTATCGTCATATGTTGACTTTTTGTGAAAGCAATCTAAAACTACTGCTCATTTCCATGTATCTGTCTAAGCTTCAAATACTTAGCCTTATTCTTTTCTTCAAAGATGCAATAGTCTCGGATTCAGCAATTCACAGTACAAAAGCTCCAATACACTTGTTGCACAAAAAAAATCTCATAACCTTAAGGTAAAACCAGTTCATGCAGGTTCTCTACCAGTAAAAGAATTAACTTGATTATACTCCTTCCCAACTCCCAACAAGAGGAAATAATCTGCCCTAATCATCCTGGCACAACCTCATGTCATTTCTTCTCCGGTTTATTGGAAACAGTCACAGCATCTTAAGTCCCTCCTCACATCATTCCTACTTGTCTGTATAATTTGAGAGAATTATACATCTGAATTTTTAGGTCTCCATCCATTTTTTAGTGTCATTCTCTATCCAGACTACTAAGTCCTCTCTTGAGGTCTATATCTGAACTTTTATAACAAACCTCATGAACTGCCTCATCAAACAGCACCTGAAAATGCAGAAGTATGATTCCTAATACATTCCCTTCATAAATCTTATTATATCATCTAGTCTAAACTTATTTGGTTTATCTTTCTATGTTATCTTGAACAAAATTGATCTGATAGCTACACCCCAGTCTCACAGTAGAATTTGCGCATCTAAGGAGGAAAAAGTTTCTGCTACCTCCTCATTAACTTACCATTGTCTCAGCAGCATGCAACCATATTATTCCATCTCGTTTGAGTCCAAGGCTAGAATAAAAGCTGTGCTGTAATGCTTTAGCCTAATGATTTATCGGCAAAGTCATAAATCAATGCTTTAAATCCAATCCCTTCTATCCCTTCCACCTTTCATTTAGATTCAATAATCCAGTTAAACATCAGGACTTTGGATTTGATATTATCAGTTTAAATGGATTCTTAATAATCAATCACCTTTATGTAATCCTATTGACAGTTATTACAAGGTCATACAGATACTGACCCAAGAAATGTGACATGAATTACATGAGAACATTGAGAGTAAAAACCTGGTCAAGCAGATGACCTGCTTCGTCCTCCTTACCTCAGTCATCTTGGATTGCACAGCCGACGCATAGTAATTGGCCACAATGCAGGCACGAAGTTTGTCCATCATTCTTCTGGCTTCATTCAGACGCTTTAAGTACAAATAGATAGTCAAACCACTCATCACATAAATAACTGTTTGTAAATATTTTCTTCAAATTATGCTATTCTTAAAAGAACATTTCATTTTCTGGAGTTACTAAATCTCCTTCTGGATGTCACTACATCAAAACACAGACCGTTTTGCCCTCCTAGACTGCTCTGTCATTCAATAAAATCATTACTGATCTTCTTTCACAATTCTATTCCCCACATCATCCCCGCTTCTCTTAATATCTAAACATCTTAATATCAGCTTCTGCCTTGAATACATTCAGTCGAACAGCCAAAACTCTCTGGGGCAGAGAGCTGCATACATTCACAACACTGAGTGAAAAAAAATTCTCTTCATGTCAGTCACAAACAGTTGGCCCTGTTTTCTAAGAATGTGACCTCTTGGTTGTAGATTCCTCAGCAAGGGAAACATTTTCTCAACATCTACTCTGGCTTGACACCCTTAAGAATTTTATGTTTCAATTAGATTACCTTTCACTCCTCTGAATAGAAGCGTTTCCCAGTCTCTCAACATTTAAAAAATAAGTTGCATTTTTAAAAATTTTTCCTACCAAAGTCGATTACTTCACACTTAGATTGCATTCAATCCACCATACTGTTGTCCACTCACTCAAGATGTCTATATCACCCTGCATTATCTTGGCGTCTTCTCCATCAGTTTATTTCCCATTTAACTTTCTATTGTCAACAAACTTGGATACGTTACATTCAGTACTCTCACTTAAATAATTAATACAGATTGTATGAATGACACAGCAGACTCGATGAGCTCAATGGCCTACTTCTGCACCTAAGTCTTATGTTCTTATTATAAAAAGCTAAGATCCAAGGACTGATCCTTGTAGCACCCTGCTAATTAGTGACCTAACCCAAAAATGTATCATTTATTTCTTTTATTTGGTTTTTAGCCATTAACCAACCCTCAATCCATGACAATTTATTAACCCTGATCCCCTGAGTCCCATTTCTGTGGAACAATCTCTTTCAAATGCGTTTTGAAAGTTCAAAAAAACTATATCCATTGGTTCCCTTTATCAAACTTTCAAAGACCACAAGAACTATGAGCAGAAATAGGCCATTAAATAAGATCATTGCTGATTTGATTGTGACCTTAACTCTAGTCCCTTGATTGTTTTCCATAACCCACTGAGAGCCACTCCTCTACTGCTGCTGAAAAACAAACCCCTTATTCCCCGTAACTCCCAACCTGTGATACCCTTCCTGTCATCACACCCATGGTTCAGACCTCCAGTGATCCTGGCTCCTGATGCGTTACAAGGAGCAGCCACACCCTCCCTGCATGTGCTGCCAACCAATGAAATAACACTAGCATCTGATTAGCAGGCAGCTCTCAGCCAGCGGCACTTCCTCTCCAGGGTCTTTGATCCCATGGAAGACACATCGCTGTCCAGTTAAGTTTGTGATTGGTACTACATGCAGCAGTCCTTCTCAAAACAAAAGGTACAGTGGCACTCTCTAGACAGCAGGTGAGGTTTACCATTAGCCACATTAAATTCCACAGAAATTATTTGCTTAATGTCTCTGCTATTTCCCTATTCTTTTTATAGTTTCACCCTGTTTTGTTTTCTAGGCCTACGTTTACTTTCACCAATCGCTTTATATATCTATTGAAATTTTTACCATTTGTTTTTATGTCTCTTGCTAGAATACTCTCATATTCTTTACCCATTCTTTAACCAT